CAATGACCTGCACGATGGGCTGTGTAGTAAGGAGGATGAATGGTCGAACGAGGGCGCGTTGCAGCGTCGACATCAGACTTGTGTTCTGGGTGTCTGCTTCTGTATGGTATGCTTCGTCACCGGTCTTCTGGCGTAGGGTCCGGGCGCGTCGCTTTAGCAGTGTCGGTGCGTATGTCTCGGGCAGGAAGGCCAGCCCGATGAGTTGGATCACGGCGCCCGCGATACTGGTGGCCCAGAAGACCCACCTCCAGGTAGTTGTTTCGGTGATGAAGCCACCCGCGATGGGGCCCACGACGGGGCCGAGGAGGGGGGCGAGGCTGTAGATACCGACGGCTTTGCCGCGTTGGTCGGCATTCCAGCAGTCGCTTTCACAATGTTAGTTGTTTCATTGGAGAAGGGGACGGGTGGAATGAAAGAAGGGAAGTGGAAGGGCATACCTGAGAACACCACCGCCGATAGCCAACGGCGCACTGCCCGCAATGCCACTCATGAAGCGAAACGCGATCAACTGCCCCGATGTCTGCGCGAACCCGCACCCCAGGTTCCAGGCGACATAGCACAGGTTACTACATTGCAGGACGTAGGCGCGACCGAAGAGTTCGGATAGCGGGCCAAAGCATAGCGGGCCGACAGCGTAGGCGAGAACAAAGACGGAGAGACTTAGCTCGGATTCCACTTCTGAGGTGATGTTGAGTTCTTTCGCGATTTTGGTCAAGGCCGGGGAGATCATGGAGGAGGAGACGGGAGAGATGAAGGTGAAGAGCGAGACGGTGATGGTTACAGCCCATTTCTTGCTCATGCTCCAGTTCTTGGGGTTTTCGCGGTCGTCCATGGCCCATGTTACCTATAGTAGTATATCACTGTTAGTATGTTGATGATATTGGTATGGGGAGTAGACTAACTAGGTGGGCATCTTGGTCTGGGACGAGTTGTCTTGTGTCGTTGAGGGAGACTTGGGATGGAGCGGCCTCCGATGGGACTGATTCTGGGGAAGGTTGAGTGATGGTCAGTTAGGGTCTTGGCCAAGTGTTGATGTTCCATAGGGCTGGCGTGGAGATGGATGGATCCGCATCACGGAAGGGAGACATACCTCCTTCTTTGGCTGCCATCTTGCAGCGATAGATTTCAGAGCACAAAACAAACGGTTGTAAGAGTGTTTGATCCTAGTAGAATGGAATCTATATTATAGTAAATGAAAAGAAAGAAGGGAATCCTGCTCAAGTGCAGACTCTCTTATACCTGATTCCTGTCGGCTTTTAAGACGGCTTAAAACCCGAGTAGCCATAATCCTCAGGCAGCGAATTGCCATTAGCGGCTACAAGCATAGGACTTGCCTCGTTCGGGCTAGTGGCCAGCACGTGTTGGGTGCAACGTGAACTAATCCCATTCCAGACAGACGCGTGTTTGATTGCGGCTCATTGCTTGACTGTTTCCTTCCTTCATATCAACTAAGCCTTCTCAATATGACTCGCGTCAATCTTCACATCATCCCCATCCACCTCCCCCATATCCATTCCCATCATCTCCCTCGAATATACAGTAACCTTCCACCAATATTCCGGATTCTCAAATAACCGATCCATCTCCTCCAGCGAGCGACCCTTAGTCTCCGGAAAGACGAAATACACCATAAGAGCAACACCAAACCCAATCACTGCATACACAATATAGTACCTCCACCTGATCGTAGCAAACGCAACGGGAGTAATCTCCGCAATGACAAAATTGAAAAACCAGTGGGTTGCCGTTCCAATCGCCGCCAAATGAATCCTCAGCTTTTGGGGTGCGATCTCCGCCGCATACAGGAAATTAGCAGCCAAGAACCCAAGCGGGAAGAAAGACATGTAGAAGAAGAGGAAAAACGTCGCTGCGATACTAGCACCGTACGTGTACCGGTTATCAATTGCCCAGACTGTTCCAGTGAGTCCGGCCATGGATGTACCCATCCCCAACGCGGACACGATGAAAAGTGGTTTGCGGCCGAAGCGGTCAACGGAGAAGTAGGCCGAGAGAGCAGCGAAGATCTTCCATGTTAGGACGCCGGCGCTGAGGATAGCTGCTTGCTCTGCTTCGAGGCCGAGGGATTCTTGGAAGATGGTTTTTCCATAGTAGGTTATCACGTTGGCACCGGTCATTTGAGCGCTGAAGTTGACGGCAACGGCGAGGAAGAGACGGTAGAAGAGGCGTTGAGGCCCCCGTTTGAAAAAGTTGACGAAGCCATATTCTGATGTAGAGGACTCTCGGAGGGCGAGCGAGATGGTTTCGATTTCGGCGTCAATTGCTTCGTAGCTGACTGTGTGCGTGTCGGCTAGTGCGTGCATAGCGGCGCGGGCTTCTGCCTTGAGGCCTTTGCTGATGAGCCAGCGGGGTGATTCAGGGAAGGACATGGTAAATGCCAGGAGCAGCAGGGTGAAGACGATTGGTAGTGCCAGAGGGAGGCGCCAGGATACCTCACTCTCTTCTACAAACGAGAGACCCACGTTCACCCAGCTAGCCATGGCAACTCCTGAGGCAATGAAAACGCCGATAACAACGACATTCTTCCCTCGACTCTTGGGCTTTGTGCACTCGCTCTGCCAAACTGGGACGACGGCGTTCACACCACCAGTTCCGATCCCGGAAACTATACGTCCCACGACAAGTTGAGCTATATGGTAGGACGTAGCCTGTATGACTAGACCGATGGTAGCTACTGCAGCAACGGTCATGAGGGATTTGCGTCGTCCGATGCGGTTCCCGAGCTGGGTGATCGAGAGGGCGCCGATGAGGCATCCGATGGTGTATATGGCGACGGCGGTTCCTATGAAATAGATGGTTAGGAACATTGTTGGGAGTATGGATGTGTGAACATGCCCTGGATGGTTGCATTGTGGTTCTTGATGGATCCTGTGGTGTTACTCGTATCTATCGGTGGAAAATACTTTATCAATGACGGGTAATCGAGCACTCCGCCTATATTGGATTGGTTGTAGCCGTATAGGAGAAATGCAGGGGCAACTATAAGACATATACGGGCTCTAGCTAACGATGAGCCAGTGAGACTTGCGAAAGTCATACTGACGAAGTATTGGTGGTAGACACGATGGGTGCAATATATATTTCGATGAAATAGTGCACATGAACGGATAGCCTCTGAATAGGAGATCCAGCGAGTCTCTCGATAGAAGAGAACAATCAAATAAAAGGATCCAGACACAGTTCTTGAAATAACACAGCGTATAGTACCTCATATACTCCAATTACAGTCAACAAAGACACGTACTGTCAAGCATTATGCGGAATTAGACCTACGAAGCTCAGAAACTTGGCTATACCCTGCAAAATTACCCCAGATTGCTCCATAAACATGCAGTCAGAATATACAAAGTACTACATAGCACATACTATCAGCATCGGATTTTGTGTGGATGAGCCTAAACGTTTTGCCATGGCACCGAAATCTGAACCATGGGTGGAGGAGGATTAGCCGTAACCTACTCCAACGGCAAATGCCCTGCTCGGGACAGACAACCTTCATGGTTAATCTTTTCTTGAAAGGCGAAATTTAAGATATATAAACATAATACGTTAATTCCGAACAAAGCCATAAAACATGAGGCTCGGACAGAAAGCGGCGTGGACTCTCTTCCCTCGCAGCACCATCAGAACCATGTCGTCGGCTAAACCCCGCATTCTCTTCTTCAATCCCGTGAGGCACGCAGTGCCGTTCTACGAGAAGCTCCAGGAGCATGCTCGCACAGAGGTCGTGACAAGTAAAAGTCGGGAGGAATTCTTTAAAGATGTCACAGAAAAATATAAAGACATCTTTGCCATTTATCGGACATCCGCTAGCGGTGCAGTAAGTAATACCTTCACCCATCGTACCGTCTTCTGGTCTCCGTAAATTAATATGGTACTTAAGGTAGCCGGCAAGTTCGATGCCGAACTAATCAACCACCTCCCATCAAGCTGCAAATACATCTTCCACAACGGCGCAGGTACATGAGCCGTGTAAGACCCAAAAAGTGGCCCACTAACAAACAACTACAGGCTACGACCCCATCGACACCGAAGCCTGCGCCAAACGAGGCATCATCGTCACCAACGCCCCGGACCCAGTCACAGATGCAACCGCTGACCTAGCTATCCTCCTACTCCTGGGTGCTCTGCGAAACCTTAACCCGGCACTTCGCTCCCTTCACGCTGGGGCCTTCAAAAAAGGCGTAGGCTTCGGCCACGACCCCCAAGGAAAGACGCTAGGTATCCTCGGTATGGGCCGAATCGGTCGTGCTATCAAACAGCGCTGCGAACCTTTCGGCATCAAGACTGTCTATCATAACCGTCGTCCTTTGTCTGCTGATCTGTCTGCTGGGGCCGAGTATGTCTCGTTTGAGAAGCTGCTCACTGGGAGTGATATCATCAGTATTAACGTGCCCTTGAATGCGAATACGAAGCATTTGATTGGCGCAGCGGAGATCGCGAAGATGAAGCGCGGCGTTGTTATTATCAATACTGCTCGTGGTGCTATTGTCGATGAGGCTGCTATGGCTGATGGCCTGGAGAGTGGGCATATTGGTGCTGTTGGCTTGGATGTGTATGAGAGGGAGCCGGAGATCAATGAAAGGCTCGTGAAGAATGAACGTGCGCTTTTGGTGCCGCATATTGGGACGCATACGTATGAAACTTTGGCGAAGATGGAGCAGTGGGCGATGGAGAATGCGAGACGGGCGATTGTGGGTGAGGTGTTGTTGTCCCCAGTTCCGGAGCATTGGGGGTTGGTGAGCGGGAATGTTTAAACCTGTCCCTACTTTGATTTGGTAGTCAAATGATACTGTGAGTATGTGTTTGCATTGCGAGGAATAGACAATTTATTTGTTGACTGTGTAGTATGCAATATCGATTACGATGAAGACGTTTACCTGAATGTATGACATGATTCCTCTGGAGGTGCTTTCATTTTGCTTTCAAACATAGAACATGGCTCAAGCACAAATCATTCAATCATTGCATTACGTCCAAATCTAGTGGTACTGGTTGAATCGCACATTGTTAATTCTGCCAGCATTACTCCCAATTTGGAAACCGAAGTTTTCCCCCGAGAAAACAACACTATTGTTGTAGGTATTCGTAGACTGAATGACCTTCACAACAGTATCACTCAGAAGATCATCCTGCCCAGCAGCAACATCCTTCAACAGCGGCAGACCATCCTCGACCTTCTTCAACTGCGAGACCTCATCCTCGCAAATCTTGCGCTGCTCATCCTTCACTGCTGGGAACAATTCGATCAAGTTGTCGACCAAACTATTGGTGTCTTCGATCAATCGCGAGAAATCCTTCATCTGGTAAATAACCAGAGCATCATCCGGGTTAGACACTGAGTTACCCTGTCGACCCTTGGCGAGTAAGTCCATCTGCTGGTGGAGTGAGGCAGAGGTACCGTCCAGATGCGTATCAGGATCCATGGTGAGAGCCGTAGGATTCTTCTTCTTGAAGCGGCCCGAAAGCTTATCCGCGTCCGCAATGAGCTCTAGGATTTCGTTCAGGAGATCTTGCACCTTCGGAATATCCTCAGGTGCGAGCTTGATTCCACTAGCAGAACCCATGTCGTCCAAGTTGGCTAATCCAACGGACTTCCCCCATCGAGTGAGACGCAGCTTGATTACATCAACTTTCAGCAGACTCGTCTGGAATTCCTTGCCGAAGCTATCACCGATCTGAAGCGATCCAAAGAATCCCACGGCTTGGTTGAGCAGCTTGGACTGCTCGGATAATTGGGCCATCATCTCCCGCTGCGTGTCTGTCATGTCGTCTTGTTTGGATGCGATTTCCTGGTTCTGCTGGCGGATGGCATCTGTGTTTGATTGGATCGCCGCAGTTCTTTCGTCGATAAGGTTGGCATTCGACACGAGGAACTCGAGGTTACCGTTCATCCTTTCAACGACTGTGTTCATCACCTCAACGGTTTTCAGTGTCGACAACCCAACGGCTTGATTCATCTCGTTGATGGCCGTCTCTAATTCCTCGCTTGCGGCGGCTAGTTCACCATCGCTCCCCTTTAGGAGGCCATCGAACCATTTTCCAGTGTAGGGTAAGTTTACGTACTAAACCGCATATAAGACAATAACTTACTGAATCGTTTTTCCTTAGTATATCTCTGCGCAATAGCGCAAATCCTAAGTATACTGGAGAAAACGCGGCTCACGCATCTCTGAAAGGGAGGCAATTCCGGCATCTTCTGATCGATAATCGACAAACGATCGAAGAATCGATGGGTAAATTCAAAAAATCCCATGATAGTGTCATAGTCGGCCGACACTGTGGAAAAGGACTCCATCACCTGCCCAAATGCCGAGAAAATCAAACTAGCTGGCATAGCTGGGGGGAAAATCTTTCTAAGTAAGTATCGTGACCAAGTCAACCTTCTTGTCAGATGTAGATTTGCCTTACCGATGCAGCATTGCCGACATTTTGTATGGTGTTGACGATTCCCTGAATCAACCACATATTGTTCTTGAACGCCGTCCTCATCTTGCCTACTTTGGATTTGTCCGAACGAAAATTGCTAAACTTGTTCGACAGGCCCTCCGTTCCAGCCATCACCTCATCCATGCTTTTGAACTGGCCCAGGCAAAGACTTTTGCCCGTCGCTTTCTCGTATTCTGCGATAGCATCTTGCCAGAGCTGAGCGATGGATGAGCTCTCGCCGTTCGAGGCCATGTTTGGCGCGTGACAGCTATTGAATGGAAATAAACAACAAGGCTATGTATGAAGGCCCCGAAGCTACTCGTACGCCTCCAAGGATGAACATCAAGATAAGAAAGAAAACCCCACGCTCAGATCTCATAACCTCCCATGCATGGAAACCCTACTAATAGTCAATGCCCGGTCGGTCGTGCACCTGCGCTCCCCCTCATTTCCACTGGTCCTACGTTGCGGACTCATTTGTTCACTCAATCGACAGCATCGAGTTGATCGCAATGTGTTCTTTCCCCACTGACATGCCAGCTGAAAGTGCGGGTGGAGGACTGGAAAAATCACACGCTAAACTACCCAACTAGCAGGAAGTGAAACGACACGCGTCGTGCCGACTTTGCCGAACCACTTTCAGCTCTCCTCAACAATGTGGCCCGCCTATTCATCTACCCGAGGACCCGGGAGGGACTGTCGATCGTTGGTTGTTGTTGAGATCGAGCACGGCATCCTCTCACTCATGATCCGACGGCGGCTTTTCCCGTTTCGGGGGCTTCGTTTTGATATCTATTCATGCTAGTCCATAGCGCATTCGACACGTCACGTTTTGTTTTCGAGCGGATACTGATTGACAGTCTACCCCGCTCTTAGTGGGGGCAATGGTCTGCTTAGTGGCTGCTTAGCTTCGATCTGAGCAATCGTGTCTGAATAGTGACTCGTCTCGCCCTGACGACGGGCTACATGTAACGGATGATTTTTGTAGAGACGCCCAGCCATGAAAATACAGTGGGCAATAGTGGCCATCAGGTAATATCTAGAGTTAGCTTCATTTCCCTTCACCGTAAGTATGCTTCAAATCCCTAAATCATGAAGTAAAAGCATGTTATTCAGAGCTTATTGAATAATTGATACTCATGCATTGTATCTTAACCTCACTAATCACTTTTTCTTAATGGCGTCCATTGCCCGCTGTAGTGATTTCCTTGAGCAGCAGCAGGCGAAAGGGACAAGACACCACTACTCCGTACAACGACTACTAAATGGCGACTATGACGCCTTCCTACAGAAACAAGTCTATGTCTCCGATCACATACTTCTGCACCATCAGCAGTGTACCGGTAGAACACAGCACCAAATTAAGAGTAACATAGATTCAATCTACCGCTCTGCAGATACTGACAGACAGCCAGCCACCACAAACCTCCGCGGCACCAGACACAACATTAGCTCCGCGCTGATCCTGCAGGTCTATAATTTCTTTTTTTCATTCAGCTTTGAACTCCTCAAATTAAAGTTCGTCACGAACCCCCCATCGGCTCCTCCGACAAGTAATTGAGTTTGAACTGGGGCGGGAAAAGTTTTCCGAAACTTGCTCTCATCCTATGGTTTCTTTTTGTATTGAAGAGGCTAAGGCAGGTTGTGCATTGATGCAAGTTGCCTACTTGCGCCAGGCGAGTCGTCATGTAGATCGGTATTTCGTTTCTGCACACCGCTACAGACTGGAATTTAAGCCGACCTCGCTCGGCACGAGGTGGCAGGGGGTCTTTCCATGGACTTTTGATAGTAGTTGGCAATTGACGTGTAGGCGTGCGTGGGCACTACGGTTTTAGGGTGGCAGGTATGGGGTGATTCGGAAGGTTTTACTGGACGATAAGTCCTCTTTTGCGTACGCTATGGCCGTTAAGCTGTTTCGAAAGTATTACATTGGAATAGGGAAATATAGAGAAGACAGTCGTATTTCTTCGTCCCGAGCACGGACTACCAAGTAGAAGTCTATTTACCCTTCTGATTGATAGTAAACCCGTTGACGTTTCCAGCGTTTTGTCCCAGCTGCCAACCATTGTTGGTAGACCGGTCGAACGTAGACTTTGAGATATTGTTCACAGCGCCCTTCTCTTCCGGCTCCGGGATGCTTCCCAACCAAGTCTTCAGGGGAGTGAAAATCTTCTTGAACTCCTTGTCATTCTCATCCTTGAAGCAACTCATTCCATGATGGTTGTATCCGATGCGGAGACTCTGCTTCTGGGTATCCGGCAACGCAGCGACGGTCGATTCGACGACCTTGAATTCCTCGTCATTGACCTTCGTAGGTGCACCCTCGAAGAAGATCTTCAACTTCAGCGAAGCGTTCTGCCTCAAATCTTCAAATTCATTCCCAGATTCGAAAAGGTTCTGCGACTTGGCCACCAACTCATCAGGCCCAGGAACATCCTGCTGGGCCAGGCGGAAAAATTTGCCTGCTTCGCTAATGTTCGCAGACGTATAGTATGGGGTCCCAAGGAGCATAAGACCTAAGGCGCTTTCCACAACTTGCTTCTTGTCCTCGTCGTTGGCTGCTCGGTTGAGGGCCTGCCATAGAAACAGAGGTGTTAGTAATCTGATTCAGGGATGTTCAACGTGGTGACGGGTCAATGTACGTACGTGCTTACAGACTAGGCCACCAAGAGAATGGGCGATGAAAATGATGGGTCGCTGAGCCTGGAATGCTGTTAGCCCACCATGGACACCAAGAACAGGTGAAGGAAAGGAAACAGATGACGGACCGCCTCGCCAGAACGCATGCCCACAAGATCATCGCACAGTTCGTTGGCAATCTCACTCAAATAATCTTCCGTATTCCAGATCTTTTCCACAGTTATATCTTCAGACTCGTATGCCAAAATGCGGGCGTTGTTGACCAGCTTAGGCAGAAGGGTTGCCGGCCAGTAAACACCATCTTCACTGGTCCAGGACTTCTGGTCCGTCTGCAAGCCGTGGACAAAAACAATGCTATACAGGGTTTGATTAGTCAAGTAGTTCAAAGTGTGCGAGCGAATACGCCGGCTGTCCTACTCAACTCTCGCCTCCGGGAAGTCCTTGATGGCTTTGATAGTCATGGTCGATATGATGAGATGCGTTCTCCGTAATATGAAATAGGAGGATGTTTGTCGGTATTCATGCTTTGTGGGACTGTGTGGTTTAAATAACTTCGTTCTCAGTGGATCCTCAAGAATCGCAGAGAAGAGGGGAGAGGAGGGCAGTGCACAGCGGCGAAGATAGACCGAAACAGCCAGGGATGCGTCTAGGCAGTTACGCTCATATCCGAGAAAAGGTGCCAATGTGTTAGGCCATGTCTCCAGACACGGTTGAAATTCTCCACTAGAGCCAATCAGTATATGCTCACCTCCAAGGAGCCAGTTCTAGTTCTGCAGGGAAACTCTCTATGACCCCCACCAACAACTATCTACTACGTATATGGCTGGTCCAGCTCCAGGAGTAGGGGATCAACATAGCATACTACCTCTCATTCGTGAGTCTCCCCGTCGTTGCCTCTATGCCGAGCACACAGGATGTTTTCGCAGAGACCTTTCCCATTCCTACGGTCTTTCCTTATACAGAAGGGTATGGCAGGAGCGAAAGGTGGTGTGGCAGTAGTGCCTCCACGGAGAACAAGAGAACTTACACACATACGCACACGCAGCCTTACATGAATTGCCTTCATATCTCGATGACAGACCTCTCATCTTCGTTATGCAGCACGTAAAACCTTAAGCCATTGACCAACTGGAGGAAAGGACCTGATCTCTCAACTGCACTCCACCCTTTGCTCCCGGCTGCACAAACAGCTACATTGTCTCAACCATGAGGCTGTGATGTCTAATCTTCTCAATGGCCTCAATATTTGCAACTTGGGTAGGCAAGTAAGGGTCTGATTCGGCAATGTGTTGTAGTAATGGCTTTACCGTATGGAACAAGCACAAATCAGAGTAGCCTGATACCGCTATTTTAGTGTCTGATGATTGTTATGCAGTATATGGCTGCGCAATCGAGACACTAGGTCGGTGCCATAAATCACGGTACACACATCAAAACATGAACGTAAGATCACATCAGAACATGCAGGTGTGACCAGAATTTGGAGTACTCCATAGAAGATCTGGTGGTCAGCGCAGAACCGAATGGCCACGACCGGCAGCAAGAGGTACAGTGCGAGCTCCACTGACCTGCGCTTTGACTGCCATATACAGACCAGCCATCGATAGTTGAGTGATCCGTTCTACGCGCTAGAGACGGCTGGGTATCTGTGTTCCTGGCGGTGCCTGGGCTCAGCTGAACGGTGGAGTCGGAGCTGTAGAAGTGGACCCACATGTCCTCAATGGACATTGAGAGCTGAAAGTTGGATCTTCTCTCTCACTTTCTCGGCAGTGGGAGAGAATAATAGCCCGCTCAGAGAATATCGCCTCCATTCTACTATAGGATCCAGTCCTCCTACATTGACAACTCCATTCAACATTGCCTATCCTCTAGTGCATCCCGTCAGCCACCAGCGCAATGAGATTCCCAGGCTCAAAGACAGAGGTGAGTCAAGATTATCTACCACATCATGAAAAAAAACAGTGGATATTGGGTTAACATGAGAGAAGCCGGAGCCAACAACCACGGCGACGGCTGATTTTGCCCATTCGGTGAACAATGGAATTCAGATGGGTCAGAACTTTGGAAATGTGGAGACTTCAATCTATAGTGATGCCATCCAAGGCATCAATATTGCCGCAGGTGCCTCTGTGTATATGGGTAGGGGAACACGTGTAAACCTTCCGGAGAATGAGTGGATGGTTGCTAACCATATCTTGACATGTAGGCGAGCAAAGAACCGTGGAAGATAAACTCCTTGACGCCCTCATTGGCCGAGATCCAGAAAACAGAAAGGACCTCCATGATGCTGAGCCTGGAACTTGCGAATGGCTCTTAGACAGTGCACCATTTCGAGAGTGGATTGAAGAAAACCCCTCTGAATCTGGCCCGCTATATGTTGAAGGCATCCCAGGTAGCGGAAAAAGTGTGCTGCTCAAGTTCCTCGCAAAAGAGGTGGACAGACAGCAGCGTATTGGGTCTCCGGTTTCAACCCCCGTGGATAAGCCGCTGCCCTCACTGGGGCCTGCCGGAAAGACGAGGGCAGCTGCTTGCTTCTGTGACGACAGAAATGAACACCGGCGGACCCCTGTCTGGATTTTGAGGACATTGATGTACCGGCTGTTCAATCAGAATCGGGGCCTGGTAAAACATTTGCAAAAACATATCCAAAAGGTTGAGGACTTGGATGTCACGGGATCTGACCCGGCTGAATTCCAGTCACAGGACGTCTTACGCAAAATTCTCCAAGAATTGATTCCAGATCCAGAGGTAGAAGTTATCTACTTTATCGTCGATGGGTTGGATCAATGTGGACGGTACCAGAGCGATGTTGTTTTTATGATTAAGGAGCTCTCTCAAAGCATCAACGATGAAGCCATAAAGCAGGGAGAGCAGTTCAGTTTGCGTTTCATTATCTCCGATCGAGGAAGTAGCATCGTTCGCAATATACTGCGTCCCAAATATATTGTCGACATGTCCACAGACAACCAACCGGATATCGAACAAGTCACCGACAATTCTGTCAAGCGCATTAAGGAGTACCGTGGGTTTTCTGAATCTATCTTGATCTTTACGACCAGTTTGTTGAAGAAAAACTCCAAAGGCATGTTCATGTGGCTATCACTTATCCTCGGTGATCTGCGCACTTGGGACGGGGTTTGGTCAGAGAGGATGATTGAAGACAAGCTTCACAGCATCCCTTCAGATGTGGCAGCCTTTTACAAGAACATGTTAGAGACGCAACCGTTAGACAGCAGACCAAAGTTACAAACACTCTTGATGTGGGTCTACCTCGCCGGTCGGCCCCTGGCCTTGCAGGAGCTGGACGTCGTTCTTCAACTGCAGGAGAAGGGGAAGTCTGCTGGAGCTGGAAGCGCAGAAGATGATGTTGATCAACTGCGGCGCGATATTGAAAGCAAGTGGAGTGCTTTATTAGAGGTTCACGACGGTTTCGTCCACCTAAGTCACCAGTCTGTCAAGGACTTTCTGTCAGGTGTATTCAGTGTGGAAGGTAAAAAGGAATACCCGAAATATGGATTGACGCCGGTAGAGGCGCACCGAAGAATAGCATCCACTTGCATTGCTTATCTTCAGATTGAGAATGTCCACCGGCGTGAAGTACCCAAGCCTCCATTCGATGAGAGTGGAATTATCGACGAGTTTCAGCTTAAAGAAGTCAGAAATAAGTACCTGGAAGGATTTCCCCTTCTGCAGTACGCTGTCGTATTCGTGGGTCATCATCTACATGAGAGCAATATCCACGAGGAGACAGACGTGGAGGGCATGAAACAATTCTTCGCTATTAACTCAGTGGCGTTGGCCAGCTGGTCTTCAGCATACGATCTCCTGAAGAGATATACTTCAGGGAAATGTAAGTCCCTCTTCGTCAAACGTAGTGCAGTACCAGTGTCCATACTTACATGTTCCTCCACAGATTCCGGACACAGCAGCAGCACGAGCCATCTATTCGTTGCAGCACGACTGGACCTCCCTTGGTTAGCTGAACGCTCACCAATAATGGCCACTTACACCTCCCTGCCATCACACGTTTGGGCCCCAGATTTATCTGGTTGGAGCGCTATCCACATAGCAGCTGACTCAGAATCAGTGGAAATGGTAAAATGGCTCCTGAAGAAGGGCGCGTTTGTGAGTGTTACGACTCTCGGGCTTCCTCATCCTGGTCGAACAGCCTTGCACCTTGCCGCCTCCAAGCGGTCCGAGAATGGTCCTAAAATGGTCCGCTCGCTGCTCGAGGCAGGAGCGAGCCCTGCTACTGCGACAAAACAGGGAGGAAACACTCCGCTGCACTATGCCATTGATAGCCGCTCAGTCGAAACCGTGACGGCACTGCTCGAAGGTGGGGCTGATCCGAATGTCGCAAGTAGCTCTGGAGCGACTCCCCTACACAAGTGTGCGGCTATTCCTGGGTTGGAAGACATCGCCAAGATTCTTCTTGACCATGGCGCAGATCCCAACAAAAAAGCAAGCATTGGGGCCGTCTCAGCGGCCCGTGGACTGTCAAACCTCAAGAATACCAGAGATCTGTGGCAGTCCTATTATACCGTCAATTCCGGGCAAACTGCACTACACATTGCCATTCAGGCAAAGAATACGGAGCAGACAGTGAAGACCCTTCTGGAGCATGGGGCAGACTCTAACTCGCGGGATAGTGCGGGTCGGAGTCCACTCCATATCGCAGTGGTCAAGATGCAGCCCGAAGCCATGACCAAGATGTTGATCGAGAACGGCTCTGATCCAAACGCACGGGATTCCAATGGAAAAACGCCCCTCTCCATGCTGCTGACAACCATTGCACTTCAGGTGGAACAGCAGCCGGAGATGTTCAAGACCATCCAGGCTTCAAGAGAGCGAATGATAGAGACATTGCTGTCTGCGGGGGCTGATCCAAATGCCGAGGCTAAAGACAAACAAACCCCAATCACACTTGCTGAACAGGCCAAGCTACAGTGGGCTATTGATATGTTGAGTCGGAACCATCAAAATGGACATGATAATGCGAATGAAGAGGAAGAAACACCTGCGTCGCCAAAAGAAGCCGAGAAGCCCGATCAGCCCGAGCAAGCTGCCGAAGCCCCAAAAGGATTACTCGGACGCCAGGCCTCACGGTGGCTACCGAAGAAGAAATAGTCAAGGTTCTGGAAGCGTCTATTTTTGGGTAATGGAAGGTGAGATAATTTTATAATGTGAGGAAAGCTGTGCTGTCTACAGCAGCAGGTTGCCAACTACTAGTAACACTTGAGCATCAGGATATAGTCAAACATATTGACAATGAAATTAGGCTTCCATGTATTACGTATTTCCAGTATGTCATCCTAAGATTAACCGCCGGGTAGCAAGAGAAGGCCATTACTGAGGAGCTTTGTGAAAGGCGTCGGAAAACCATGAAGGCCCAAGGACATGGTTAATCTCTGGATGTTGATGTGGTTTCTCAGTACCGGTAGAAAACATTTGAAACATCCCGCATTGTAGTCCAAGCTCAGGTCATGAAGTAATCCTATGGGGTTGAGATTGAAGAACAATCAGCGAGACATGCCGTGTCGAGTTCCCCAGGCCAGCCGGCTATACTTGGTCCGTGCGGGTGAATGTTCATCCACCGAGCGCGCAGCATGTTTGCAGGAGGTGTACCACGGGGAGAATCACCAGTAATAAGAACAGAAGATCGTCTAGTCAATTGCTAACGCATGATCTCGGTTATTATATCAAATCAATAAATCTGCCTTTCTGATCCAAATACATCGACCGCACAAATCATCAACATGGTGAAGATTGCACTTCTTGGCGCCGCAGGCCAGATAGGCACGCCCCTCAGTCTTCTATGCAAAACAGTATGACCAACAAAAAATTTACATAAATGAACATGTTACAGAATAAGCTGGCTGACTCTCTACAGAGTGATTTATTTGATGAGATTGCCTTGTACGATATTGTTCATGTACCGGGCATTGCTACGGACTTGATGCACATCGACACCAAAGCCAAGGTTACTGGCTACCTTCCGGCTGATGATGGACTGAAAAAAGCCCTTACCGGCGCTGATATCATCGTTGTAACTGCTGGTATTGCGCGAAAGCCGGGAATGACTAGAGATGGTGAGTGACGAGTACGATTTACACTTGTATATATTTCACCAGTTACTGACCGGTGCCCGCGTCTAGATTTATTCAAGGTGAGACAACAACTACCCAACAGAACCGTAATATATATTTGCGATGTTCTCATCTGAATAACCATCATCTAACTAATATCAGACAAATGCTCACATCATCCGCTCCATCTTCACCGAAGTCGCAGCAACATGCCCCAAGGCATTCTGCTGCATTGTCACCAACCCCGTCAACTCCACCGTCCCCGTTGCCGCTGAGACCCTCAAAAGAGCAGGTGTCTTCGACCCGACTCGTCTCTTTGGCGTCACTACCCTAGACGTCGTACGGGCTTCTACCTTCGCCGCACATGCCAAAAACACCGACCCCAAAGCCTACAAAGTCCCTGTCATCGGCGGCCACAGCGGAGCTACCATATTGCCGCTATATAGTCAGGCTCAGCCCCCGGTCAAACTTGATGAGGAGACTTTGGCGGCTGTCATTAACCGTATGTTTCCCACAATACAAGTATTTCTTACCTTCGGGAAGCAGATGCTAATGGCAAGTAAATAAAGGTGTGCAATTCGGGGGTGACGAGATCGTGAAGAGTAAGCAGGGCGCGGGAAGTGCTACTACATGCATGGCGTATGCAGGATTCCGCTTCATCAAGGCTATTTTGGCAGCCATGGGTGGAGAAACTGTTACCGAGGAAGCTTATGTATATCTTCCAGGCGTTCCTGGTGGTGAGCAGATTGCGGCTAAGCTTGGGGTGGATTATTTTGCTGTTAAGGTTGAGATCGGAAAGACAGGCGCTTCGAACGCGTTGTCATTTGGTGAGATTTCTGAGAATGAGAGGAAGCTTCTGGGAGTTGCTATCGAGGGGTTAAAGAAGGATATTGCTACAGGGTTGGCTTTGGAGTAGGAGTAGCTTTGCGTCTCAAGGGTCTACTTGATAGTAACCTATGGGGTGTATGTATTTCGGGTCGCTTTCGTAGAGCTGGATACAGTGCTTTGGAACCTTGGATTATGCTCCACCTCATTAACTGCTCTTCAGCGTAAAAAGATGGCATTGTTATGACAAGTGATGACGCATACATAGGTTCACTCACTATATGCAAGCAATAGATGATAATGAGAAACTGTAGAAAATTTGCCAAAATAGGCACAGATCTTGAGATTGAACCGGTGGTGAAATAGAGCGCAATCCAGGAAGACCTTCAAGGAGGTGGCCACATGCCATCGACATGTTCCGGCTTTCTGGGTATCGGGTATTCCTCAACAACCTTACCACCTTCCCACCTGGCACTAACATCGAGCTTCTGATTCAACGCAAAGAACGTGTCCCAATTCTTGCAGGTATGGTATGTATTGAAGTTCGGGTACGGGATGTCCAAGCCTTGCACCCAGTTATATGTCACCAGGGAGAGGTCATCGTTGCACATTAGGGTCTGACGAAGTATATCAACGCAGTGGTCTGGGAACTCTGTTAGCTCTATGTTGTGCTCCGGAGCTCGAAACCGAAAAAGATAAATCGTAAGTCCCACCTAAGTGAAAAAAGATACGCTCATCTGTTTGATTTCACGAAATGCTCATCTTTGTCTTTGTAGTAGTCCATGTGGATACCTTTTCGCAGGAGATCCTAAGAAAAAAAGCGACATGATCAGCTATATAGCTCAACACGCCCATAGTCACAATACTCACAACACAGTGTAGTTGGTGAAGAACGTCAAAGGCTGCCATATACTCTTGGTCAGGGTCAGCGCTTTCGATTCGTACTGCAACATCGGGATGATTGTTCAATGCTGTGAGCTGCTGGCGACTGATGCCCATTGCACCTCCTACCAATGGCTGTTAGGAAATTGACAATGAAAGATTGTCTGGATTCTAACTTGTCAAGTCATGCCATTTGGCATCTACCTCCGGTCCCACACCCGCGTATTCTGAATGGGCGCTATAGAATTGTCGTTTCTCGTAAACGATTCCACTTTCAAAGCCTGGCACTGTACAGGACCTGTCAAACTCTGCGTAGAGAAGTTGAAGCAAAGGATATACCTACACCAGTAATCTGTAGGCTTCTGAATGAAGCCTTCTTTGCGGGAATGGGGCGTGGTTATCCAGAGGTTGAAAACAAGCATTACAGTGTTCAACATCAGCAGGACGACACAGAACAATCCGAATAGCAAGTGCTTTCGGCTCATAGGTGGACTGGAATGGACCCTATGGTCCTCAAACGGCTTGCTAAGAAGCACTCGTCTGGCTTCGTCTTTGTCAAGACTGCTGCTCCCGCGGCAGTCACTGCCATCGTCAACTGGACAATATGCGGCATCCTTCATTTCTGGATCTCCAATTGTTTACAGAACGGCCTCGGAATGCCTCTGAGGAAGAATGGCTCGAGTGGCTCGCAATACCCTTGACTCGGGCTATGCTTTCGGTCATATAAACCCTCCCAGTAGCCCAACCTCGCGAGGGATGATGTCTTGATTGGATAAAGTGGTATTTGTCAGTTTCCATTAGGTCACCAGAAAAATGCGTGGCGTCACATCGATGATCTTTGCGCATTTTCTGGAGTGTAAGCGCTATCAACATATAATATCAATTTATAGTCGCAGATCACAACGCAGATCGTGAATAGAGGGTTCAAGAGCGCTACGGCGCACATAATAGGTGCTGATGCTAGCATGGTACCGAATTTGGTTTCGAACTGAGTCCGCGAGGCTACCTCTTTTACAAATTCTAGAGACTGATCATCAGTTGCCTTTCTGGCTTACCTGTACTCTATTCTAGTTGCAAGTATACTACTACATCTGATCACTGTTGTGTGGCACATGTTCGTGCTGATGGTTGAGCTGTCACACACTGTATCCGCATCCAGGACAAAGCAATATAGGAGACTATAACAACTGTTTTCTTCACCGACGGGTGTTAGGAACCACATGGAAAAAGTAATATAAAAACTTACAATGACTGTCTCTTCACCCGCAGTTTATGGAAACAACAGAAAAAAGCAATCCAGGAGACAATGATGACTGTTTCATTCACCGAGGGGCCTTGCAATTCGTAAAAGGACTTTACAGACGTAGTAACAGCAGGGGTCGAAGCAGAGTTTCAATATGGTAATGGCTACTCGATCTTCACTGTCATTCAATGCGTGCTTTTCCGATATGAAGAGAACATGTAGTATCTCACACCAGAAAAAAGCATAAAAGGCACCGAATCTTAGTCAGATATGGTACAATGCATAATAACTAGTTAACTAGCGCAATCCGTCAGCATCCGGCATCCGCTCAATTTCCTTCCTGAGATCAATATTGTATGGAGCTCCACCAGCTGCCTCACAATACACATGATATCGGAACATATCTATCCATTTATCTGATCGTATAGATGCAATATATCATTTTCAGTGAAACGGTCAGTGCGTTGACACATGACAGTAAATAAAGTCTACGCACGGACATGATGGAGACAAGCATTGTTCTCAGACAATTCAAAAGAAAAAGCATATTCAAAGTGGTGAGGGGGCGTAAATGCCTCATAGAAATGGTCCACGATGTGAGACCAGACTACCCTATATAATGTAGGCCCAGACCTGGAATTCGGAGAGCAATCAGGATATCTCAAGAACAACAACAAGCCTCACAAGCACAATATCAATCATCAAGCACACTACCACCACCAATAAGAAAAAGTTGAACAAAATGCGTTCTTTTATCTGGCTGAGTGCACTTATCGGGCTTGCCATCGCGGCACCCGGAGCGTCCATACTGGAGGAGAACGACAAGCGGGAATGGCTTGATGGCTACGGCCGTGGCGGTGGAGACGGCTACGGCGGTGGTGATGGTTACGGACTGGTAAGTAGCAATTCAGCTCACGAAAGCAAGCAATTACTTAAATATTACCAGGCAAAGCGAGAGTGGATGGACGGCTATGGTCGTGGTGGTGGTGATGGATATGGTGGAGGCGATGGTTACGGTCTAGTAAGTGGCGATCCAGTTCGCGGAAAGGAAGGAATACTGAAGTTATATCAGGCTAAGCGGGAATGGCTCGACGGTTACGGCCGTGGCGGTGGTGATGGATATGGTGGAGGCGATGGCTACGGCAGAGTGAGTGACTCCCACATTGTGAACGGGGAAAGGGTACTGACATTATACCAGGCTAAGCGAGAGTGGCTTGACGGCTACGGTCGTGGCGGCGGCGGCGATGGATATGGTCGTGGTGGTGACGGATACGGTCGTGGAGGTGGCTATTGAAAGGTAATGGCCCTACCCTCTGGAGCAGTGAACATGCTAATGAATCTGTATAGGCGTAGCTATAGCGCGTTGGCAGGCGACAAAGTCTGCAGGACGCTGTACCTGATGTACGCTTTACTGTGCGGTTCATTTACCAAAGCCGGACTCTTTCACCACACACGCTTTTGACGGATGTATCCTGTTGCCAGGTGCAGCATTCAACATGCAAGGTACTGTATCCGTGCCACTTCCGATAAGGCTTTGCCTTTTCTTGTCACTTATTCTTGAGCCTTGGTGCTTAAATAAACACAAGTCAAAACATTTTTGATCCATAGCGAGCAAGTACTTGTAAAAAGGCTCCTCCATGTTCCATGGTAGTGTGCATCTTTAGTAATGCATTTCTTGAGCACGTAATCGCCATCTACCTCATATAGGATAGGGCCGATCCCGGTTCAATATCTCGGATTATGATATAGTAAAGGGACGGTAGTATAAAGTGATACATTTATAGAAAAGATGATAAAAGGGTAAATCCAAAACTGTTATGTCAAAGAATGACGATATCTTTCCCGTAAGGAAAAGTTCATCTTCAGTAAATGATACTTTTCTGTTTAAGAACTTAAAATATCAGTATCGGACCTGCTTCCCAAGCCAGTAAGTAAAGACCATCACATACATTACCAACTGTTCATCTCGGAAAAGATGTCTCCCCCTCCATGCAATTGCCTCCCAGGTCCTACTAAAGCCATGAGAGAAGCATCTATTCGATCATCCACAATCATGGCCGGCAACAGGGCATGGCTATTTGCATCAGTAGTAAAGCATACCTTGGAAAGCCGCAACCTCTCCTGCTCACGCAGTATGGCCACAAAGTCGTCCAGAATGTTAATAGTTCCGCAGCTCTCTGCCATATGAAGTCCGTCAATGATCCAGCTAATTGATGGCGGTGCATGCACCTAAAGGCCTTCGATTATTTTCAATGCAGTGGAGGCAGATCCTATCATTCCATCAAGAATTTCGAATTGCTCAAGGAGCTTTGGGGCACCGTGGAAGTCTGCGGGGAGCAAACGCGCAAGTTGTATGATTATGGAGTACAAAAGCGCGATGACAGAGGCTTCTTGGTTCGAGACATTCGTGTCCCAATTGTATCTTGGCATAAAGAAGAATGAGATACATGGAATTTGTGCCCTTGTGCTAAGAGCGCACAGCTGCGTGGCTGCCAGGGAAAGATTGGACCTATGATTAAATGACGGGACCCCCTCGAGCCAAACCATTTTCGACCGTGGGCTCCTGATCCAGTTTTGGATCTCACTCAATACTTCCTGTGGAAGCAGAGATGATGGGATACCTTGGAGTGTATTGGAAAACTCTTCTCTACCATCGTCAGTGTACTCCATGAGGGCTGTCGTGGCTTTCTGATTGTCGTAGCGTGTGCACGTCTCATCTGCGTCTTGGGTGGATTGTCAGAAAGGTAGAATAACTAAAATAGATAAATGTAAGAATATTTACCAGAGTCCGACTCAGTGTTCAAGGTCTCAACTCCGGTATATCCGGGGATAGCATTCGATTTTCCTCCCTCGAGGAGTTCCCCGAAAATTGCTTCTGCAATAGCCGAAGAGGCAAAGCGGAGCTTTCCTGCAGTGGGCACAATTGTCAATTAACATCGAAGTCGGTATTCGGAGTATTCGGTTTATACCCCACATCCCGATTCTATCCTTCCCAATGCAGGCAACACAAACTACTACTAGCGCTGTTGGAAAGCCTATGCGGGGTAAGTATGATGACAGTGTATACTATGAGGGCTCATGTACTGCTGTAATGATATATTAACCCACTAACGCCCTTGTTTTCATGTTTACTGACAATGCCATCTCCAACTCGTACTTATACATACATTCACATTCCTATCATTTCGATTAGTCATAAAACCTCATCATGTTTCCACACCCCAGAAGAATTGTAACCGGACATAATTCCGACGGCGCAGCCATCGTTGTGGACGACCGAGAGATTCCTTGCGAGCCAACAGCAATCAATGCCAATTTCGCAGTCCTTTACAAGACGCACCAATTCCCCGAATCTAACGATAAATGGATTGATCCGATCGAAACCCGCACCACGGATCTATCTAACAACAATGGCATAGTACTCCGAGTTGTAGACATTCCACCAAATACGGAAACGGTGAGTGTGGCTACATACAGGATGTTTCACGGGGGCCCAAGAATCGATCGTAAATTGATTATTATCAGATGTTCCATCGAACGGAGTCCCTGGATTTTGGTATCCTGCATAGCGGTGAAATCACCTGGTATGTTAGCATATGCATTCCCCTAGCGTTATAAATGTGATTTCTGGAGGCTAATCCCGCGTTCCAGTTACCTTGATGACGGAGTTCGTGTGGACATGAAAGCTGGTGATGTTTGTGTTCAGCGAGGTACAATCCATGGCTGGACCAATCATTCCGATCAGCCTGCGAGAATATACTTCATACTCACTGGTATGTCGGTCTTCATCAAATGGGAATGATCTCAAACTGACCTCTGTGCTGCAGCCGCTCACCCGGTCACTGTAGGAGGGAAGGTTCTCGGGGCGACAGGTTACTCCAAGCATGAGGTCGCTAGTGGTGGAAGGTCAGACAAGGAATAAAGAAGAGAATTTAATCCAAGTATTGATGTCCCTTCTACTCGATTTGCCCACCTGCTGTATCTATATTAATCGTATTGAAGTTCCACGTCCTTGTCTGATGTAACTTTCTTTCGTAGTGTTGAGTTTGATTAGCGAGCTATTGTAACAGGTACGAATTCGGGGGTATTTAGGTTGTCATTATGAGGCTTCGGTTATCCAACTGCTACTGGAATGAAAGCTACATTGTAAGTAACGTCATTGTTTACTCTTACAGAATGGTGGTATTCGAGATTACCAGACGGTTGTAAGCTATAATATACATTCACCCTGTCACAAATGTGAAAAACACAGGCAACTTCCTCTCATTAACCTAATTATACCCAGCAATATGCCTTGTGTTCTTGTCACTAAAAGGTAGAGTTCATTACAGTACACATTCCATACCAACTTCACTCCCGTCCGAGAAGATATAGCCAACATGTCGGACTAGGCCATATAATTCAATCATAAACCCCCAACTCCGAAATTACCTCTTTTCTATTTTCCGACGTGGGTACAGCCGAAACAACTATAACTTCTCATGCACATGATCATACACGTGTTATGCTCCCTGCTGCAACAGTTCTCCTTGCCGCAGCAAATCTATAATACAGTCATCAATATGCCCAATCTGTTCCATGCCTAGTCCTAGCATAGATCCGTCAAAACTGCTGTCCACAACACAACCGTTAAAACCGTTGATAGTATCTGCGGTTATAAATGGATTGATCGTGATGGGCAGCTGGCTAGTCCCAGCACCGACTTCACGCGATATCTGGGAGATACACCCAGAAATACTCTCTTCTGCCCACACGGGTCCCCGAGAATCTGCATCTTCCAGACCAAGGTCTTCGATATCATCTGCGGCCTGCACAGTAGAACCGTGCTCGCTGATAAGGATGGAATTGTGAGTCAGGATAGAAAGTCGCGCTCTAGAATTAGCTGGTTTAAACTCTCGTAGGGTCTCCAGGGGCATATTCTTCGGCTCGTCTGTCAGCGGGAATGGGGCGCTCGCATGCACCTTGTAAAGGCCACAAGCAAACTTGCCCTGTGGACAATGCGTCAGTATGCGTCACAGGCCGAGAAGTATATAAGAAGGCTTGAGGTCCGAAAGAGCCAATTATCGTACCAAAACATCTGAAAAGGCCCAGTGCTTTCCCAGTATTTGTAACGTCTTCAGGTTGGCCAAAACATTGCGCACGGCGCCCTGCTTCACAATTGGCTGTGAGCACCACAAGAAGGGAGCCTGGATTGCGCAAGCCGAATAGGCAGCATATCCAATAAAGCTCGGCATCCTTCGAGCGTCCCAGTCCAGCTCCAAGGCTGCATGTAGCAGTTTAGATACAGAATTTGCGTGCTCAAAGGCTGTCTGTGCGGACAATTGCTGCGCGTACGCAAAGACACCTTCACAGCGGCTCCAGGAGAACAGTGGCACGATGGACGAGTGCAGGGAACACAGGCATTGATTATAGATCACGTGCAACAAGAGTAACTTCGGCAGATCTTGCAAAGGTACTGCAGCCATCTCCGCGCTATCCATTTGAAACGAAGGGTCCAGCTTTGACCAAGCCTCATGAATGCGACTGTCCAATGTTTGTATCTCGACCAGACGGCTTGCTAGGCTTAGTCCTGTCTGCTTTATGAGGTGGACAACCGACGACCATAGAGACATGGCCCTGACCAGCTCGGCGTAGATGCTCTTCGTGCTTTCCGTATCTTTCAAAGTGATGCTAGATCGAGGACTCCCTAATTGGAATTCGGACTCCCCGCATGGTAGTATAGTATGCAGCATGCCCTCGGTGGGTACTTTTGGGAAGGGACTATCAGCCTGAAACGTACTCTGTAAGTAAGCGGCCCAGAATCGGCGTCGCTGCATCTCAGAGTCCATATGGCTCTTATTCCGCCTCTCTTCATCAGAAGCTCCTAGAACCCAGGTGGTACTCGAGGCACAGCCTGATTGCAAAATTATATTAGTGAGCGAATACAATTGATGTAGAGGCGCACAGAATCGTGCTGGAGACATACTCGACAACATGTTGGCCCGCCGAAATTGACCTACGCTGTACCAGAAGAGAGCAAGGTTGATGAATACAACGACATTTTCTCCATTGGGCGACTCCGCCTCTTGAAAGGCCATCCGACCCGCGGCTTCGGCCCACTCACGGTCAAATTGACTCTCGACTAGGACTGCAGCACCTTTGGAGTCCGTGTAGAACCTGACAAGTAAACGTTAAGAAGGAAGAGGCACCCGAGCAGACCAGGGAATGAAGAGATTGCATACCGAGAGGCCAAGGCGCAGATGCTGAGTAGCACGTCAGTGCGAATTGTGTCCAATTCGATAGCGCGGTTCAGGGAAGGTCTGTGCAAGAGTAGTGAAGCATTGTACAGATGGCTATAATACAGGTCTATCAATACCGGAAGCAAGGTAGTTGGGACACCAAAATAACGCTTTTCGGCTAAGTGAAGGCGCGACACTGAGGGCTGAGAGAAGCCTGATGGTGGCTGTAACTGAAGGCCGGTTCCGCTAGTGGTGACTGCGCTCGGTATTTCTGCGGCTCTTCTAGCCGTCGTCGACGCTGTTGCTCTCCTCGACTGATAGATACAAGCTCGGCCAAGTCGCCTGCACCTCTGGCAAGCGGGCTTCTGGCCACAGCATCGCAGCTGAGCGATCCATTGACGTCAGAAACTTCAGGCCCGCCACCTGAACTATAGGAGCAACAGAAACTCACTTTCTGGCTGCTACAGGCATCGCACGATCGTCTGGGTCTTCCAGCCATCGAGAAAAATGAAGAAGCTCAAGGATTGTTGTTAGTGATTTACGGGAAATGACGAGTGAAAGTCCGAATGTTCGGGAAATGCATCTCAGGTTCGGTAGTAAAGGCGGGGGGCCCGGCAAGGTGGGGGAAGTAGCAAATGATCGACCTTTGCTAAAGTGGGGAAACCGGCGGCTCCGGGGTAAAGAACTTATAGATTCGGCATAGGATATACTTTGCTTTGTACTGTCCGGGTTATGTGAAATTCTGTCTAAATCAGGGTGTGGTGATTCTTCTTAGTAGTGCTGCACCACCTATCAGCGTGCTAGAGCCCTATTTACGTGGTTCCAATCATGCAATAAATAAATATATAATAGGACTGTTGTCTCTTCTTCGAGAACAGTAACCATCGACTGAACGAAAGATAGACACCATGGACGCATTCACCATCGACAATCTCCCCTACGGTGTGATCTCCACCGAAGGAAACCCCAGAAAACGTTGCGCGGTCGCTTACCAGCAGTTCGCCATTGACCTGGATCTCCTTTACCGCCATGACTTCTTCTTGCCCATACCTAATCTAAATGTCAACGTCTTTGCTAACGTGAGGTGTTCGGCACAAGCCTTAATGCAGGGGACCGAAACTAACATTGACCCCAGGACAGTTGGAATGCTTTTGCTGCCCTGCCCGTGGACCTTCGAGCTTCCGTCAGGGCTCGCATACGTTCTGGAATCCTGAATGACGCTGTCAATGAGGCGTTGATTCTACTGTCCAGTGTACAGAACCACCTCCCAATGCATACCCGCAACTTCTCCGACTTTTATTGCTCTTTGGAGCACGCAAAGAATGTATGTTTGTTTTTCCCTATTGACAAGGTACTAGTTTCCTTCCCCTATCGGTGGCTAAAGTTTTTCAGTGCACAGAGGTCATGAACCTGAAGCAGATGGCATCCAACTGGTTCTTCATCCCTTCCGTCTATAACGGTCGCACCTCAAGCCTTGCAGTTTCAGGTACCCCAATAACCCGGCCTTATGGTATGTATGCCGAGCCTCAAACAGGGGCAGTCTCATTCCAGCCCGAGTCGAAGCTCGACTTTGAGTTAGAAATGGGGGTTTGGCTGTCTACTCCACTGCCACGAGGTGAGAGACTCGACATTGCCAAAGCCAGTGAGCATGTTTTTGGTTTCACCCTCCTCAACGATTGGTCATCACGACAGATTCAGGGCTTTGAGATGCCCCCTCTCGGCTGCTTCCATTCCAAGGGCTCCCTTACGTCTATAAGTCCCTGGATTGTGTCAACAGAGGCTCTGGAGCCGTTCAAGTGCATGAGGACGACACAGCAGGATCGTCTGCCGGTACCACATCTGAGGCCTCAGGGGGATGCGGCGCTAACCTACGACATTGAGGTGTCAGCGAAGCTGCTCCGTAAGTAACTATAATGCCACGGCCTTGATGAAACAGCAGTGTGATAACAGGGATTTTTTCGAGCAGGAGATGGCAAGTCGTACACACTCTGCGAGAGCAACCTCAATACTTTGTACTGGACGCCAATCCAGCAGCTTACACACCTGGCCTCTGCCGGAGAGGGATTGTCAACAGGAGATGTCTTTGGAACTGGAACCATATCTAGCAGTGTAAGGCAAAATTCCTCTGGGTCATTCCCACTTTTCTAGCTTGTGCGTTCACTAATTTTGACGACAAAGGCGACCAACTCAGATGGCGAGAAGATCGGTCTCGGCTGCCTTATCGAGCGAAGCCTTCCTCGCACAAGGCTCAAGTCTGCCCCCTCAGATATACAGGACACCTTCCTGAAGGATGGTGATGAGGTTGTTATGGAGGGGTGGTGTCGGGACAAGATGACCGGAAAAGTGATGCTTGGATTTGGCGAGTGCAGAGGGAAAGTATTGCCTGCTGTCTCGGCAGTTTGATGAAGTGAGATCTGTAGTCTGATAGATTTATTTTGGCAACAATTTGTATTGTTCTTTCTCAATGTCTTCTCCCGGTCGGAAGTCTAGATTTAAAGTCCAAACCCTCCAGTAGTACCTCTGAGAGTAAATCCAACTCTGTAGAGGGATCATAAGGTTACGGGATTTCATATTCACTATTAAATTGAATTCCTTCATGGTGCCGTAACGTCATTAGAGCGTATCTGACCACCCGAAACTCCCAGTCCCAAAATGAACTCTACCATCCAACCGCTCAGCTGGAAAGTTTGTGCTGGTTGCACAATAGCAATACGGGCACCCACCGCGTTGTCAATCCACGCAGTCGGTTAGCGGCAAACAGCCGGAGATAAGGGGCTTGTTCAGCGCGAGACCGAATTCCCGAAACACCGAATCGCAGCCAACTGCCAACCGGCAAAATGATCTCATTCGTTCTGGTGAGTATGGCACCACTCTCGGCTCAGGAAACACACCGACAAAAGGGTCCTGGTGATCCTAGCTACTAAATTCAAATATGCATTAAGTATCGGTCGCTCCATGATTGTAACCAGACAAAACTTACCCCAGCACCATCAAAAGTACTACTACTAGCCCAACAACACCAGCCAGCGCTTCAGTATGACGGGTCATACCAGCAATGCACACACGATCGATAGCACGTCCTATCCCTATATCTATGAAAAAAACGTGTCTGTTCCTCTCAGAAACGGCAGCTTTATGCGCTGTAATGTGTACCGGCCGAAGACGGCTGATGCAAAGCACCCGGTCCTTGCCACTTGTGGTCCATATGGAAAGGATGTGCACTATTCCCAGTACGCCCAAAGTGCTGTTGTATCCTTCTTGGCTCAGTGTAGCTAACGGAGAACGTATAGTTTCAACCCTCCCAGCTACGCAGAAGTTAACCCCGACCACAAAACAAACCACTCGGCTTGGGAGACGCCCACTCCGAGCTACTGGACTCAACACGGCTATGTTGTCGTAAGGAGTGACGAGCCCGGAACGGGTCAGTCCCCAGGCTTTCTCGACGCGCTCTCTTCAGCTACGATCGACGCGTTCTATGAATTGATCGAATGGGCCTCTGAGCAGGATTGGAGCAACGGCAAAGTCGGTCTTCTGGGTATCAGCTACTTCGCTACAACCCAATGGCAAGTTGCGGCGCGAAGGCCCAAAGGGTTAGCTGCCATCGTCCCGTGGGAAGGCTTTTCTGACTTCTACCGCGACGCTTGCCGACACGGGGGGATTCTCTCCAATGCAGGTCTGGACACGATATGGGAGAGACAAATCGGTACAAACCAATATGGCCTCGCGGGACGAGCTGCAAGAAACCGAGGCGACGACACCATTGAGGGCTCGTTATCGGCGGACGAGTTAGCCAGAATTCGGGTTACGTTTGTGGATGGGGCGCGAAAGCATCGGTTCCGAGACGGCGAACGCTTCGCCTCTGTGAACTTCAACCTCGAAGACATTCAGGTACCCTTACTCAGTGTTGCCAATTGGGGAGGAATTTTGCTGCACCTTCGCGGCAACGTGCAGGGCTACATCCACGCCGGGTCTGAATTCAAATATCTCCGCTTCATCGTTGGACGACATGACCTTCCCTTCTACTATGCAGAAGAAGTTGAAATTCAACGGAGCTTCTTGGATGCCTTTTTGCACGGCCAAGATCGTGTAGGATGGTCCAAAAAAGGGGCTGTCCCACCAGTCGACTTGGTTCTGCGGAAAGGAAACGTCGGATACAATGATCCCAAGGCTGAACGGCAATTTTTGAGGAGGAAGGAAAACGAGTGGCCAATTGCCAGAACACAGTATACGCCCATGTTTCTTCACCCGGAGGGAGGCCTCTCTTGGAAGAAGACAGATTTGACGACGCTTCGCAAGGTGGAATACCAAGCATTTGGTGATGACCCCGCCTTTGTTTCCTTTTCTTCAACTCCATTTGATTCGGAGAAGGAAATCACCGGGCACATTGTGGTTCGGCTCAATGTCTCTGTGAGTCGCCATCGCTGGCAGTCAACCACACCTTCTGATTTGGATTTGTTCCTGTCTCTCCGCCACATTTCATCGTCTGGCGACGAAGTGTCTTACACAGGGACTACCGGGGAGCCAGCTCCGGTGACGAAAGGCTTCCTGAGGGTAAGTCTACGAAAAGTCAATCCTCAGCACCCGCGCCACCGCCCTTGGCTACCTTATCGTGATTATTCTTCCTCCGACGTTCTTCCAGTTATCCCCAATGAGGTGTACACTGTGGATGTGGAACTATGGCCTACAAACGTTGTGGTGCAGAAGGGGGAGCGCCTCGTCTTAGATATCGGCGCTTCTGAACTGGCTGGTAGCGGTATGTTCAACCACAATGATCCAAGTGACAGGTAAGCCAACGACAGCACGTTCCATGGAATACTTGTGGCAACTATACTGAATAATAATCGAACAGGCCGGAAAGCGTTTTCAAGGGCAACAATCATGTGCACTTCGGACCCAACTACGAGAACTGGATCAGTCTTCCCGTAATTCCGAACAGCAATTGATCCAGAGTACCTGTGTTAGATTTATAAATTCTAGTCGTTACAGTGACATTGCAGATAGTTTTGCTCTCAGTGGTCTATTCTTCAGCAAACCTTCTCATGTTGTGATCCCTTGCATGACTGAATTCAGTTGATCCAAGTCGATCTGCTCAGTCCCATGCCAACCACAACCTAAATTACTAGTTGTCTGACATGAGGATAGGGGTCGGTATAAAAGCACTGCAGAGGAAGGTGCAGCATGAAGAGATGGATATCCTGAGTGGGATCTAATTGCATCACCTCGCTTACTAGGAGCATTTCCCCGAATTAGATTCATGACTCGTGAACTCCACGATTATCCAGTTTAATCGACCCCCGGGTGAAATCCCGGAGATGTTCCAATGTTTTATCTACGGACTTTCTGGTGATACCGACAGTTATGATACTGTTCGCCCAAGAAGCGCTAGTAAGTCAGTATGTAAGTTGATTAGGCAGGCTTGTGAGGCGACATAGTGGGCTTTTTTTTGGAGGGTCTGTGTATATAGGGCACTTGCTCCTCCTTCTTCATTTAAGCTACCTCTGAAAGGACTCCTGCCTTTTACCTTCAGAGAAACATATTTAACATCCGAGACTCACCGCATACCTCTTAAAAACCACCAACTCAAATAGGAATCCCAGCCGTCTATCATGCGGGGGATACTCCACCCACTAAGCAAGGGCGGGCTAAATCCCGGAGAAGGAGCCGAGCTTCTCTTCTTTATCTTCCACCAGACCTTCTCGAAAGCTGGATGTCGAAGAATTTCAGCAGTAATTATAGATATGAAGTGGCCGCAACTGTTGCCCTTAGCTTTGCATCTGGTCTCCATAGCCACAGCGAGCGTTCCTACTGAAAGTGAGTCAATCTGAAAAATCCTTGGACAGTCGTTGCGGAGACAATCCCACTTAACATATAACAACCAAAATCAGGTATGGAAAAGGCACTTGAGCCATTCAAGTATAACACATTTCCCCTCGGTACAATAACCGCCACGGGCTGGCTGCATGATCAGCTGGAGCTCGAAGCAAATGGACTGGCCGGCCATCTCAACGACTTCTACCGCTTTGTGGCTGGATCAACATGGGTCGGGGGTGATTGGGAGTACAGCACGCTAGACGAGGCGGCGCCCTACTGGTTTAACTACGTTGTCCCCCTCGCCTGGACCATCGACGACGCGCGCTTAAAAGCTCAGGCGAAGGAATTTCTCGATTACGTGCTTGACCATCAAGCTGAAGATGGATGGCTGGGGCCCGAGAAAACTCACCAAACTAGAGGAATATGGGCACGTAGTCTGCTCTTCTTCGGCTTAGTGGTGAGTGCAAATGCCTGGTATGTGTACATGTGGTGCTTGGTTCTGACCCAGCGGTCCAGCAATACGCACAAGCAGATCCATCCGAGACGGACCGGATTGTAACAGCAATGCATAAATTTACCATCCTGGCCCATTCCATGCTCAAGGACAATTTCACCGGCCTGATTGAGAATACGACGCTTGGAGACGAGTTTGATCCCTACGGCTTTGGACTAGCCCGGGCGCATGAGTTGCCCATGTCGTTGCAGTGGTTGTATGAGAATTATCCACGAAACAACTCAGAAATAATCTGGGAGACTATAGAGCTTATGTTTGCTGGAGGCGTCGCTGGTGGCAAAGACTGGACAACATTCTTTGTTGAGGGTGTCTTCCCTACACTTGGAACGCCGTACATCACGACCAGTTCATTCACCCATGGTGTCAATTTAGCGGAAGGTATGAAAATAAACCCTAGGACAGTGGAAGACGTGCTGACCAAAACAGGCTTACGGTATCCGACGGTACTCTACCGAATGAATGGAAATTCTTCCCTGTTAGACCAGACTTCATTGGCGGTGAACTTGCTCACCACTTACCAGTCGACACTTGCTGGGAGCATCACGGCCGATGAGCATTTGGGCGGACTCAGTCCCGAGCGAGGGTATGCGTGTCTTCGCCTCTCTTTTAATCCACTATTTCTGGGACTGACATGAAACAGCTCGGAGACTTGCATATCGGTGGAGATGATGTTTTCCATGGCCTATCTGTATCGGTTCTACGGCACCAACGCATACGCAGACCGAGCCGAGCGCGTCGCATTCAACTCGCTGCCTGCAGCGCTATCACCGAATTGTAAGTCTATGAGCACCTAGTACAAATACCCCGGCTAAGACTCTCTTAGGGTGGTCTCATCAATATGTCCAGCAGGTCAATCAGCCTTGGTCCCGCAACTTGAGTGCCGTCCCTTTCGCGAACGTGAACTCCTACGCCAACAGCTATGGCCTCGAGCCCAACTTTCCTTGCTGCACCGTCAACCATGGCCAGGGTTATCCCAAGTATGTGGCCGCTTCTTATGTGCTTGAGGGAGACAGCCATGTGATTCACGCACTATTGGGGCCCGAAACATTGAGCACGAAGCTGGCTACAGGCAACGTGACCATCGCATGTACGACCAACTACCCCTTCTCAGGCCGACTGGAGTATGCAATCACAGCCACTACCGACATATCATTCTCCGTCCGCATTCCCGACTGGGTAAACAAGACAAGCTCTCAGTACTCACTCGCGGCGGGATCGTCCAAACCCCTCTCCTCGGACTCCAATAACCTGCAAACCTTCAATCTCACGAAAGGAACTACTCGGATAGCTGTGGAGCTAGAAATGGGCATCCAGGTCACAGAGTCACCAGCCAACGGCACCGCAGCTATCTATTACGGCCCATTATTGTACGCGCTAGACATAGACTACAACTCCACCTACCACAGTCCCCTCAGCTACTCCTCCTTGGAGCCACTGCCAGCAGACCAGATCGTGGCGCAGACACATGACTATGTGCTCGACCCGACCTCTTCTTGGCGGTATGCTATCGACCCGACCTCGGTGACCGTTCAGCAGGTCTACGATCGCGATGGACAACTCCAAAATCCCATCTGGGCGAAGAACGCTACTCCCTTTGCCTTGTTCGCTGATGCATGGCTGGTCCCCTGGGAGGAGGACTCGGGGACCGCTGCGGTGCCTCCGAAGTATCCTAATGTTACTGGATCGCCGAGTAAGATCCGCTTGGTCCCTTACGGCTCGGCAAAGCTGCATATTGCCGACTTCCCCATTGCGGTTCAGTCGTCCTAGGGGCTTGCCTATGATGTTATGAGATATATAGCTGATAAAAGTGTTGAGGCTTTGATGATCTGATGTTTAATTCATGACCACGACCCCAGAGACCTTCGCTATGTGGCTCTTGGAAGCTGTCTACAAGGTAGCATGTGTAGTAGGACTACCTAAAGTTAACTAAAATTACAACAGCAGTGACGTACTATAGCTGGGCTATTGATTGTAAACCAAATACATGAGGAAGAGCATAGATCCAACTTTTCAATCACCACTGTTTTTCCACAATAATAGCCAATAATAAAAAATATCTAGAGATATATAATTAGATCATGTATATAGTTCTGTTCATTTTGGTATTTCAATTTATTTACTGACTTTTATTATTTATATATGCTTTTATGTTTCCTTCTTTCCTTTCTTACGTTCAATAGTTCAGTCTAGTATGCTGAATGAAACATGGCTCTCAAACGGACAGTCCTTCCAAGACACACAGCTTCCATCGGCCTGACTGGAATTAATTTCAACCGTTATATTGATTACCAAAATCCTTCCTCTGATTATTGATCGATGTTACTCACCGTATTCCGATAAGTGTTCCCCTTGCAGTAAGAACCTCCCTCCTCTGTTACTAGCTCGCAGACAGTGCCCTTGAGAGAGTCAGAATCTATCCCCTTCAACCTGAAAATAGCCCCGCCATGACAAGTAAGATCGCAATCATAGCCAAGTCTTTGGACCTCCTGTAAATATTCCCAAATTCTCATCGTAAGCCTTTTCGAATATACTAGTTAGGGGAGCTGGGGAAAGGCTATCCTATGTCGTCATGACAGCCAATATCGCTGCTTCGGCCAGCTTCTGGATTTTCAGCCAAGGTGCTGCCAATAAAGAAGGCAACCAGAGCGACGCGAAGCTTCATTATTTGAAACATCCGGTATGAATCTAATTTTCTGGTTCTAACAATCCAGTATGATCCGATGTGACGCGACACTTGAATCCTATATGAGAAGAATTATGAAGATCCGAAATATCTCAATACCTTTCATATAGACACACACGAATCTCCATAAAGGTGTCAACAACGCTATTTATACTGCGATCGCATATAGCACGAGGCCCTGCTCGGTTACCGGGAACTCTAGGGAAATCTTCAATAAACCCTACTAATAAAATGCTTAGTGACGTCATGGGTAAGGAATTATTGGATGTTCTCAAATAGCTTGCGGTACGTTGGCTGCAAAATTTAGTGAGACTAATCCAGAGGAGTATAGTTATAGTAGTCTCTTGTTACTTGAGTGAACTAGTAGGTAGCCTTGACACCAAACCAGCTTGTCTGAACCTAAACCTGCTTCCACGAACCGTAATCAATTAGTCTTGTCTTGAGCATTATGTCCCAAGTTGTACAACTTTTAAGCGTTCTTAAGGGTAGTTTACTTTGAAATATCAGAAGTCCAAAATCTCTAGGAAGACGCTACTGCCACAGCAGCAAGGCTTCCTCCACACCGGCCTCCGCTCATACAAAACCCTTCGCCTACCTCAGCAGACAAAGTCTGCTCCCTAAAGAGTAAGGCGTGCTTCTTGAGCAATTTCCCTATCTGTATCATATGAAGAGGTGTATAATAACCTCAGTTTTACTCGACTATTGACCAAACTCAAAGGAACAGTAATCCATGCTTGTCAATGTCAATGCACGAACTCATTTCTAACATGACGATAACTTTAAGGTTGTGTATAGGTTTCTGACCCTCTAATCAGTAGACTACAAGTATTATATCGCGTTTCCCTGCGGATTTAGACGAAGATTTATGTCCCAACGTCACTATTAAGGGCGCAGACCGGGATCTG